AGACTATACAGTGGGTGACCTTAAGATCGCTGAATTCACTCATTAGAAGGACCATCTGGTTACTTTTGGACAGTGTAAGTGTGCCATACGTAACAGTATGAATTAACATAATGCCAACTCAGTATGATTTACATAAATAAAAGAAAAAATAAAGTGCTTAAAAGTGAAAACCAATAAAAATTGTAAATGAAATAGATGAATAAAATGTAAATGAAGACTTAAGGCTTAAAGAAATGAAACAGGCCATTGGATCGAAGTATAAAGTACATTAAAGCGAAATAATAAAGAAAATAAATTAAAGACTAAGTCTTTCAAGGCTTCCTCAGTAAAAATGGTGCTATACAGAACCATAAACACTAAAAGAACCCTTTGCATTATTAAATGTTCTTCTATTGTTACAGTCTTGACATGGTAGCAACAGAAAAACCCTTTTTGGTGCTACAAAGAACCATATTCAACACATTCTCCATTAGTCTGAAGAACCCTTTCACCCTTTAATCATGCAAAGGGTTCTTTTAGTGTTCATGGTTCTACATGGGACCATTTTCTTTACTACAGTTGTAGAACCATCGTTTTTCAAGAGTGTAAGGATAAAGTGCAAGTCTTTGAGCTCAAAAACAAGTACAAGAAGCCCAACGTTTAACCTGGATTTAAAAATCACTGCATTTGAAGCTCATCTAAGATCTTCTGGCAGTTTGTTTCAGTTATAAATGCTGCTACACCATGTTTAGTTTGGACTCTGGGCTCGACTCTCTGACCTGAATCAATGGATCTAGTGACCCACTCGGATTCTATTCTTTAAACATATGAGAGATGTACATCGATCAGGCATAACATTCTGACCACCTCCTTGTTTCTACACTCATTGTCCATTTTATCAGCTCCACTTACTATATAGGTGCACTTTGTAGTTCTACAGTTACAGACTGTAGTCCATCTGTTTCTCTGATACTTTGTTAGCCCCCTTTTACCCTGTTCTTCAGTGGTCAGGACCCCCATGGACCCTCACAGAGCAGGTACTATTTGGGTGGTGGGTCATTCTCAGCACTGCAGTAACACTGACATGGTGGTGGTGTGTTCATGTGTGTTGTGCTGGTACGAGTGGATCAGACACAGCAGTGCTGCTGGAGGTTTTTAAACACTGTGTCCACTCACTGTCCACTCTATTAGACACTCCTACCTTGTCAGTCCACCTTGTAGATGTAAAGTCAGAGACGATAGCTCATCTGCTGCTGCGCAGTTTGTGTTGGTCGTCCTCTAGTCCTTCATCAGTGGTCACAGGACCCTGTTAGCTGGATGTTTTTGGTTGGTGGACTATTCTCAGTCCAGCAGCGACACTGAGGTGTTTACAAACTCCAGCAGCACTGCTGTGTCTGATCCACTCAGACCAGCGCAACACACACTAACACTCAGTGTTACTGCAGTGCTGAGAATGATCCACCACCCAAATAGTACCTGCTCTGTGAGGGTCTATGGGGGTCCTGACCACTGAAGAACAGGGTAAAAGGGGGCTAACAAAGTATGCAGAGAAACAGATGGACTACAGTCTGTAACTGTAGAACTACAAAGTGCACCTATATAATAAGTGGTAAGGTGTTTGTGTTCATGTTTCTATATAGAACCCTTAAAGAACCATCTTTTTAAAGAGGCTACACTATCTTGCTGCACTCTCCACTGTTTGAGTTGTTTGGCTGGGTCTGAGGAGATCAGATACTACAGTTCACTTGAGAACTTAAAGACGAAAACTCACGTTTCGGATGGTTTGCGGTTCCTTTATTTCTTCATACTCTCCATTTCCCATCACTTTGGCATCACTAAGCTCATTATGAGCTGCAAACATGAAATGAAACTGAGGGAACCAATATTTCAGCTAGATGTCAGCTTCAGCTTCAAGTAGAACTGCTTACTGAAAGAGAAGAATGTCAAAGAAACCAACACATCTAACATTCAGACGCGCTGAAGGCCTTTTAGATCCACCAGGTTTTGGTACATGCAAGACAAAGTCCTGCAGGTAGATCTCCAGCAGAGGGGCTGGTCAGGAGAGAAGGATAACAGCAGAAGAAGAGTGTAATGTGAGGTGGTAAACTTTGAGACAGCGCCACAGCCCCACCTCGTGGTGACAGGCGTGTATTACAGCCACAGGAATTAACCTGGCTCTTCCTTTGGTGTCTAGAAGCTGCACTTCACTTTTTCTTCGCAGCTGATTTTGTTCTTGAGGCTGTAAACGTTCCAGCAGCACAATGTTAAGCGGTACTATTTCCACTGTCAAATCAAATAAACAGACCCCAATTTAACTTATACGTTGAAGAGAGACAGTAGTAAAGACAGTACATTACACCAGTGCTACTACTGCATTACCAGTATCGTCACTAATATATTCAAAGTATCACTTTAATAGAATAACTAATCACAGTGTCATCAAAATTAATCTAATATTTGTCATTTATGCAATGCTGACCTCTTGTGGTTAAAACCTTGCTGTACAGACAGTGGTAGAAAGATTAAGTGACCCTTATTAGTCCCACAACGGGGAAACTTCACCTCCGCATTTTAACCCATCCGTGCAGTGAAACACCACATACACACTAGTGAGCACACACACTAGGGGGCAGTGAGCACACTTGCCTGGAGTGATGAGCAGCCCTGTCCACAGCACCCAGGGAGCAGTTGAGGGTTGGGTGTCTTGCTCAACTGTCGGCTCAGGGGATCGAGCCGGCAACCTTCCGGTCACAGGGCTGGTTCCCTAACCTCCAGCCCACGACTGCCCCCCTAGAAATGAACCAATCCCAGTTTTCCTCTCTGATACCAATACTGATAACTGAACTCTGGCACTGACTACTGTCCCAATATTAGTCCTTTCTTAAAATTAAATTCAAATTCTGTGTAACAGTCCTGGCTCTGTGTTACAGGAACTTCATTTCAAGGGCCATAAATAACAGTGCTAAATAGAGAACTCCACCAATTTCTCAAAATGTTCTGCATGATTCAGTGTGTGAGATGTAAGCAGAGTGATTCAGGGTGGTTTGGTGTGAAATGGCTCAGATGTCTTTACAGTGGTGGTGATAGGAACCAGAGGTCGTCATGACTACAACACAAGTATAGACATTTTATTTATTATCCAGAACCACCAGTGAACCTACACGAGTCTTCTGAGTTTATATGGAATGTTGATGATGGAAAATAGTGGAAAATCTGAAAAGAAAAAAGATTTGGAGGGACTATTTTCCCATTTTGGATTTTAAAAACAGACCAAAAACTGCCTAAAAATATCAAAAACACGTCTCAGACCATTTCATGTAGTAACTTTCTGTGAGGGAGCTTTTAGAGGTGGACGTCTGGTTCCTATCACCACCATTGTGAACTATTCTGACTCGGTAAGTTTCTCTAGAACTGAGCATTTCAGACCAAACCACTCTGAATGACTCTGTTTACATCTTAACCAGTTAATAATGCAGAAATTTGGAGAAATTGGCGGAGTTTCCCTTTACGAAAGGGAATGGTCATTGTGGCCAGAATAACTTACCACTAGAAAGCCAAAACTGTAAAATCTACAGTGAAACTAATGATATAAAGTAATTCACTGCTCATTTCTTCATTCAGTACGACATGAAAATGTTTCAGATTAACAGAGACACAGATTACATTTTAATAGGGGTTTGTTTCTGTACTCACTGATGGAGACACACTGCCCCCCTGAGGACACATTAATGCACTGCAGGTCCAGTCAGAGGTGTATGTAGTTCAGAAGTTTATTTTACATACTAAGGCTTATAACTCAGTAACTACAGGGACTTCAGTGCAAACTGGCTGAGTTATTCTTAGATTATAGAAGTGAGTAATACAACTTTGGGCCTGTCTGTGGGCCCTGGCCATTTAAGGGGTTAATAATAAAAAAAAATTAAAAAAAAAAAGCTTGTGATTGTGGGCAGATAAACAATGAGCTTCCATGAACTGGGATTTGAGCATTTTGCTGAATGGACAGCATGACATCATAACAAGTTTATTTTCAGGGACCCCCAGAATTAGAAAATGAATAACCTATATTGAATGGCCATTTTTACTGAATGAAAAGAATCAGACTTTTTCACTTATAGAGAGCACAAGCAAGATATAATAAGATAATGCTGAATATACATTCACTGTTAAATTTATATATCTTTTTTCATATGATATTTATTCATATCATTATAGTCTTAGAAAAAAATGACGAGTGCATGTACACTGTTAAGAATGAGAGGTCAGCTCAGCTCAAAATGATACAGTAACTGATTACATGGCTTTTCTTGAGTGAACTTGAGGACACCAGAGTTCACACATCTCAAACTTCTTAGTCGAGTCAAAAGTTCTCTTCATTTTTCAGTTCTGCATCTCAGTTTGGTAAATAAATAGAACTTGTTTTTTATACTCAACTTCCCCACCAGCCTGGACTCCCTCGATCACACAATATTTGCTAGACAGCTTTCCTCTTGGGTCCATACTTATGGATGGCTATGGCATCACTGGGGCTCAAACTCACAACCTCCTGTTGGGCTGCACCACTTTTGGAGGAACACATGAAGCCACTCGGATTTTGTGTCTACGAATGTTTAATACTCTGCAGAAAATATTTGTTGTTTTAACTTTAAAGCAGGGCTTCGTCTCATGTAGTGCAGCTGCCTAATAATTCATCCTAACATCAGGAGGTTGTGAGTTTGAATCCCAGCAATACCACAGCTGTCCATATCTTATTATTATGCTGTATCTGTTCAGCTGAGGTGAATCTAAAGGTCATCAGTCGGCTCCTGCTCTGATCAGTCTGATGCGCAGCTTGTTGCTGTTGCTGATCTGAGAGCAGTTCTGTGAGTTTGTCTGTGTTAAAAGCTCCAGCAGATGGTAGATAAGCGTATACTGGCAGCTTTACCTTAGACACACACGAAATAGCCGGTCTAATGAGGATGTGTGAAGCATTTCCTGTGATATATATGTGTGTGTGTGTGTGTGTGTGTGTGTGTGTGTGTGTGTGTTGGCGGGTGGATCTTTCCGTATGACTTCATGACTAAGATGCGCTGACTGTGTGTGGTTTTCTATTTGAGGCTGAAATGGTAGTGAGTACAGAGCTGTCTCAGTGTTTATGAGCGTCAGGCTGCCGGTCAGTGAAAATGGAACGATTAGAAATGTACCACGGCTCCATCAGCAAGAGCAGAGCGGAGGAGCTGCTGGCCGTAGCCGGACAGGACGGCAGTTTCCTCATCAGAGACAGCGAGAGCGTGCCGGACACTTACTGCATCTGTGTACTGTAAGTATGACCACACACACACACACACACACACACACAACACTGCACAGCTGCTGTAAGTGAATCTTGCTATGAAAATGGTTCTGTATAGAACCACGAACACTCAAAGAACCCTTTGAATGATTAAAGCGTTCTTGGCATTGTGAAAGGGTTCTCCAGATTGGTGGAGAATATGTTCTATATGGTTCTATATAGAATCGTTTTGAAAAGGATTGCTGTTGTTATAATAAGAGCTTGTAACAGCGGAAGAACCTTTTTTGGTTCTACATAGACCTCTCATCAAAAAGGTTCTATATATAGAACCATCTAAAACACATTCTCATCAATCTGAAGAACCGTTTTATGATGGAAAGAACCCTTTATTCATGCAAATGGTTCTTTGAGTGTTCATGGTTCTATATAGAACCACTTTCTTTCCTAAAAAACCCTTAAAGAACCATATTTTTAAGTGTGTATTATTACACTATTAATAATGATTTAGTGTATTATTTGCTGTAAACATGTACAAAAGTTGTTCTACACTCACAAAAAAGATGGTTTTTCCAGGGTTCTTCAGTAAAGAAAATGGTTCTATATAGAATAACAAACACTCAAAGAACCCTCCGCATGATTAAAGGGTTCTTTGCATCAAGAAAGGGTTCTTCAGATTGTTAGACAGTGTGAATGAATGTGCTATAGACAGTTCTATATATGGAACCTTTTTGAAGAGGGTTCTATATAGCACAAAAAGGGTTCCTTTATTGTTATGAACTTGACACTGTAACAATAGACGAACACTTTTAGAACCATCTACACAATATTATAACTATACTATATTTTCCATCAATCTGAGGAACCATTTCACTACGCAAAGAACCCTTTTATCATGCAAAAGGTTCTTTGAGTGTTCATGGGTCTATACAGAACCAATTACTTTAATAAGAACGCTTAAAGAAAGAGTGTAGTATTACCCTATTTCTAATAATATAGAGTATTTTTGCTGTATACATGTACAAAAATTGTTCTACACTCTTGGTAGATGGTTATTCAAGGGCTCTTTAGTAAAGTAAATGGTTCCATATAGAACCATGAACACTACACTCTTATAAAAGATGGTGCTTTAAGTGTTCTTTAGTAGAGAAAACAGTTCTGTATAGAATCATGAACACGCAAAGAACCCTCTGCATGATTAAAGGGTTCTTAGCATCATGAAAGGATTCTTCAGATTGATAGACAATGTGAATGAATGTGCAACAGACGGTTCTATACAGAACCTTTTTAAAAAGGGTTCTTCTACTGTTACAAGCTTGACACAGTAATAACGGAAGAACCCTTTCGAGTGCTACGTAGAACCATGTTCAAAAAGGTATTATTTAGAATCAGAGCTGAAACTCATTCAGAATTCTTAACTGATCGTGAACGTCAGACTAAAACCCTTTTGCTCTGAGTGACTCTGTATCTGAATTATGTTATTTTATTAATATAAATGATGGAACTTTTAATTTGGTCACTACCAGAACAACACTAACCAAAATTTACCAAATGTTTCAGTAGTGACTCTTTTTGTAGCAACAATTTTAGCTCATTTTGAGTAGAACACAGAAATGCAAACACAGCGTTGAACAGCTGTACACACATAAAATTATCTTTTGTTTATTATTAAAACACAATAAAGTACTTAACTGCTGAAAATATGTGACAATTCCTAATGTTCCACACTGATTTTCAGACTGGAATAATGGACTAACAGTGGTGAATCAATATATAATATATAATATATATATATATATATATATATATAATACTTACATTAAATATTACTTCTTTTTTTTCAGTGTCATATATATATATAAAATACTGATAAAATAAAAAAAGTAAAATTTAATGAAAGTATTATTTTCACAAGTGTAAATTTAGGGGTTGGGCTTTGTGATAGACACCTCCTGATAGAATGTAGCCTGTACAGGATGTTTGTGTTTATAACTAGCTTGTTACTATGCCTATTAATGCCTCACGTTAGAATAGATCATAATATCTAAGATATTCATCAGTACAGGAAGTTCACATCCTCCCTCCTTCTCTTTATATATATAAATATACACACACACATACACATATACGCACACACACACACTATATGGCCAAAAGTATGTGGACACCTTCAGCACATATATACACCTCTAACAGGTGTATAAATGAAGTGCATAGTCAAGCAGTCTCCATAGACACACACTGGCAGTAGACTGGGTCGTACTGAAGAGCTCAGGGAGTTGAATGTGGTGCTGTTCCTTTCCTGCTAGATCTTCCCTGATCAACTTCACGTGCTATTATTGTGAAATGGAAACATTTAGGAACAACAACAGCTCAGCCTTGAAACATTAGACACTGAGCGCAGCTGAATGCTGAAGCATAGAGCGTAAGACCCAGTTCCATTTCTCCTTTTTACCCCTACCCCTTGTTTTCGAGTGTCACCCAAACCCCTTGGAACTGAGTTACAGGGGTAGTGGTTGAAATCTTGCCCTACACAAATAAAAAAATAAAAAAATAAAAAAAAAATAAAAAAAAAGAGCATCACTACCAGCACTGCTCTGTAGGTGACCCTGCCAGACTGCAGTGACAGCAGAGGAGGGTAAAGTTCAGCTCCTTACTGCTGGGCTTTAGTTACATTTAGGGCACCATATGCCTTCAAAGAGGGGGGCAATTATTTATTATCACCCACCCCTAATTCTTCAGTGATATGAAGCTGAAGTCAGATATTCACCAGCTTCTCGTTCGAATTTTCCTGTTCCACCTTAAATGGAGCAGCAGTTACATTCTGGCGCTTCAGGCGTCAGAACTGCTGGACTATTTAAGGTGGAACGGGAAGTTAGCTAGCTAGCAACTGAAACATTAGCATGCTAATAGCGATTTCTTATGCTTGTTATGAAGAAAATGACCAAAATACACTGAAACAACATTAACTCAGATAAAACAGTGGTTATTGTAATTTTTTAACGGAGAAAATTCTCACATTTGTGGGTTTCTTTGGTCTCTTGTTCAGCCATCTTGCCGGTTTTACTTTTTTTCTCATATCACTCTGTTTGGAGTCTCTGAAAAACCTCTGTTTGGAGGACCATGTAGCCCTAACATTTCGCCCTACCGCTCTATCTTAACAAAAATCAGGACACCCTACCTGTAGACGTGAACACGCAAAACAGAGGGCTAAGGGCTCAGTGGTAGGGGCGAGGGGTGAAATGGGATTGGGCCTAAGAATTCCCTATCCTCTGTTACATCACTCACTACAGAGCTCCAAACTGCCCCTGCAAGCAACATCAGCACAAGAATTGCGTCGGAAACTTCATGAACTTCATGAACTTCATGGTTTTCACAGCTGAGCAGCTGCACACAAGCCTAAGATCATTATGCACAATGCCAAGCGTCAGAGTGGTGTAAAGCGCCGCCACTGGACTCTGCAGCAGTGGAAACATTTTCTCTGAGTGATGAATCACACTTCACTGTCTGTCAGTCTGATGGATGAGTGCCAACAGTAAAGCGTGGTGGAGGAGGGATGATGGGCTGGGGCTGTTTTTCAGGGTCCCTTAGTTCCAGTGGAGGGTGATGTTAAAGCTGCAGCTCACAAAGACACTTTACACAGTTATATGCAGCTTTTTGAGGAAGAGCCTTTCTTCCCCTTCCTAAATTTAAATGAATGATAACTATGAGCTAAAGGTCTTATTTTGAAATCATTCTAGGGGAAAACCTCTCCTCCCACTTCTCATCCATCTGACTGCTGCTAACTTTGGTGTGCAAATCACACGTTAGCTTAGCATGCTGCGCTATTCACCAAAGCTGATGTTTGCACACAGTATTCCATACATGAAGTGTGACATGTTAGACTGTTTGCCCCAAAATGTATGAACTCAACAGCTCTCACTCTGAACACTCCGTAATGCTGTAAGCTGTATGAACATTAAATGAACTCCACCAATTTTTTCAAATTTTCTACATAAGTAACTGGTTCATATGTAAACAGAGTGGTTCAGAGTGGTTTGGTGTGAAACGCTCCGTTCTAGAGAAACTTACCGAGTCTGTTCACAGTGGTGGTGATAGGAACCAGACGTCCCCCTCTAAAAGCTCCCTCACAGAAAGTTAGAAATGAAATGGTTATGAATTCACTGCCTGATGACTGAGACACTGTTTTATGATAGTTTTGTGATCAAGATTGCTTTAAAATGTATTTTCATCCATATTTTTTAATCTATTCATGGTGGAGGGATACATGCAGGGCATTTTAAGGCAAAATGGTCCCTAAAGAAAACATATTATTTCAGATTTTCCCACTATTTTCCATCATCAACATTCCATATGAACTCAGAAGACTCATGTAGGTTCACTTGTGGTTCTGGATAGTAAATAAAATGTCTATATCTGTGTTGTAGTCATGGCAACCCCTGGTTCCTATCACCACCGCTTTAAAGACATCTGAACCATTTCACACCAAACCACTCTGAATCGCTCTGCTTACATCTCACACACTGAGTTATGAAGAACTATGGAGTAATTCCCCTTTAAGTTGTCTTATTATTATGGTCTTATTTTATGGCAGTAATACATTTTCTGGAGGTCGTGTTTAGAAAACTCCACACAACTCTGACTCCACTGACTCACATCCGGTTTCTAAGTAAACTTTTCTCCATACTAGTAATGTTTCCTGGAAAAGGAACTGCGATTAAACCAAAAACTTTTGACTGAAACTGAAACTTCTGACTGGAGCTAAAATCACAGAAACAGTTTTATTACCACTTTTGCTTTAGTTTATGATTTTAGGTTCATCTAAGACACAATTTAGGCCAACTCCCTTACAGCTCATGACACTCATCTCACAAACTTCACCTCTGAAATGGTCAAGAGTCACCCCCAGGCCCAGACCCCCATTCCTCACTTCTATAATGTAACAATAATTCAGCTGGTTAGCACTGTAGGCCATGTAGTCACTGAATAATAAGCGTTAGGATGTAATATGCCTGGAAATTAAAGGTGTAAAAAGATAGTTTTACTTCTTGCCAACCCGCCTTATTAAAATCGTTCTTCGCATTAACAGTGTATGCTGTTGCTCTTGCTGCTCTTCAGTGCTTTTCAATGGGCTTTAAATGGGGCAGTCATATAAGCTTTAAATAAAAAACAATGAATCAAAATATGACTTTACAGTTCAGTTATGCATTTCTGAGTATGTGATATTCATTCAGAACATGTTCGAGAAACCATTATATGTAGGGGGGCAGAGGTGGCACCACAGTGGCGCAGCAAAAAACTGATTAGGCCTTACTGAGCCACTGACTGACTGACTGACTGACTGAAACCAACTTTCCGCACTACATACAGCATATGTCATGCTAATAACGTATCCCTTTAAATCTATGAACAGTAACTGTTTTGACATGACTGCTAAAATTAAGATCAGAGTACACCAAGGTTACGTGTTAGGTTTTTAGATTTTAGAGCTCATGAACCCAGATAGTCTGTGCCTCTCATTGTTGTTCCTAAATGAAATAATCTCTGTTTAATCTTTATTCAACTGCGGAAATTTTTACTCCATCCAGTTACTGATGAGCTCAAGGCACTTACAAAGCGAGTCAAAGGGACCATAGTTGTTTGGGGAGAGGGCCAAGTAGATCATCTGCATAGCTGTGGTACAGTATCCCACAGTATCCCTTGTAGTATTTGGCTAAGAGGCAGCATTAAATTTAATAAGAGTGGCCCAAGAATTAAACCCTGGGGGACACCAGAGGTCACAACCATTTTAGGATAGTTCCTGGAAGTCCAATCCAGTTCTCAAGTCTATGAGAATTTTATCGTCAATGAAGTTAAAGGGAGCGCTGAGATTGAGCAGTAGTAGAACCGATGTGTCTCCAAAGTCTGTATTCCAACTAAAACTTAAATGTCATTAATAACTTTAATTAGAGCTGTTTCAGCCAATAAGCTGCTTGAAGACAATTTTCTAAATAATTTTTCCAATGCAAAGTAGATTTGAAATCGGTCTGTAAAAACTCAATGGAGATGCTTCTAGATCTTTCTTTTTTGAGAGAGGCTTCACAACAGCAGCTTTTAATTTATTATGAAAAACGCCCGACATGAGTGAGGTGTTTACTGTCTGAAGTATGTCCACTGATATCGAGTGAAACACATTCTTTTAAAAGTTGGTTGGTAACATGTCAGGACTGCGAGTGGAGGGTTTAAGATGACTCACTGTACTGATTAAAATTTCATTATTAAAGGCACTAAACTGGGACATTTTAGCCATGATATCTGTATGTAGTGACGGAGAGAACACAGGCTCTTTGGTGGATATAGATGTATCACTCTCAGTAAAAACGTACATAATGGTCACTGGGGTGGAACCCTCAAGGGTTCATCTCAGTACCTTTAGTCAGGGAACATAACTGAACCATAATCCACTGAAATGATATGTTCTAAGCTGTACTGACTCCACACACCCCGTCTCGTCTCCAGGACTTTATTTTTCTGTTCTGTTTTAAAACATTCGGGTTATGAAAAGGTACAAATACGAACTTTTCACCTGGAAAAACTTATTTAAGGTTCACAGTTGGACCTTAAAACTGCTACCTGGGCAGAACCTTTATTTCTAACAGTGTATTAAAGGCTTGTCTGAAATTTTGGATTGTAATGTTCAAAAAACATCATTACATTTCTCAAGTGATACTAATTCAGGCTCCATATATGTCAGTGATTCAGTTTGTCAACCATAGGAAAGAATATTCTGCTGTTGTTAATGTTATTGTTGACAATGCTAGAGAAAAATGGCGGCTCATCTCACTGCATGCTCCCAAAGGCTTTGTTGTTGTCCCACCCCTTCAGCTGAAACCTGGCTGAGTTTGACTGTGTCTATAGGTCAGCAGTCCATGGAGTTTTTATTGGAGAAAGTTGGTGGGGCATCGCCCCCTTTCTTTGGAAAGTGGTGGGTGAAGCGCCCGCTTGCCCGTGTGGTTATATTTTGCCATCCTACCCACCCCTCCCCCACATTTAGTGGCATTTCTTGTGGTGGTCGCCACACGTTATCATTATGCGATGATGCCGAGCTCGGTGAGGCTATATGAGGCTGCGGCAGCGCTTTGCAGCTCAGATCAACTCAGTTCAGCTTAGTTCCTTTTACAGACGCCCTTTTACCAGCACCATCTGTGTGAATGTCCAAAGCATGTGGGCTGTAGTGGTCAAACGGTTGCATATTTTCGCATGCAGAAACAGTATTTATAAAGCAACTGCCCAATTTTCCATAAAAACTGCTGTGATTAAAGCACATTGTTTTGAGTAAACGCCAGTTTGAGCGACATTTGAAGACCGGGGCGATTTAATCACGTCTGTGCGCCTGTGAATAACACCACATTTAATGTTGAGAAAAAAAACATGCAGCTGAGAAAGTGCATTTGCATAAAAGCAAAATAAAGCATTGCAGAGCTTCACCGACACACTGGACTGTGTGTCAAGAGTGAGATGCCATAGACTGTTAGAAATAAAGGTTCTCTGCAGGTTCATTTCTCTTTCATCAAGGTACAAACAGTGTAAATGTTCCCTCAAAGGTACAACAGTGGTTTTAAGGTCCAACTGTGAACCTTAAATAAGTTTTTCCAGGTGAAAAGTTCGTATTTGTACCTTTTCATAACCGAATGTTTTAAACAGAACAGTAAAATAAAAGCCTGGAGACGAGACGGGGTGTGTGGAGTCAGTACAGCTTAGAACATATCATTTCAGTGGATTATGGTTCAGTTATGTTCCCTGACTAAAGGTACTGAGATGGAGCCTTGAGGGAACCACCCCAGTGACGAGAAGGGCACTGACCCAGCGACAGTTTAGTACCTTTGGGGTACTAAAGGGTGTAGAGGAGCACGTCTAAAGCTATTAGCAAAAAAAACCTTGGGTGAATAATCAAGTGTTCGATCTTTAGCTTCTCGAGATCTACACTGCAGATATGAGGCTAACGTAGCTAACAGGCAGGGAGGGGGCGACACCTCCGAAAGTGACAAAAAAAAGCACACAAACAAAAATAAAGTGAGCTGACTGAGAAATGACAGCTGAGACACTGACTGATTATCTAGAACTAACATTCAGCACTGCAGGTGAGCCAGAAACCAGAAGGTTGAAGGTTTAAGTCCCAAGACCGACTGGGTGTGCCTAGTTGTGACCTTGAGTAAGACAACAGAGTACACACTTAAAAAAGACGGTTCTCCATGCATTCTTTAGTAATGAAAATGGTTCTATATAGAACCATGAACACTTAAAGAGCCCTTTGCTTGATTAAAGGCTTCTTTGCATCATTAGTGTTTTTCGGATTGATGGAGAATGCGCTGTAGATGGTTCTATAAAGAACCTTTTTGAAAAGGGTACTTTATAGCACTAAAAAGGGTTCTTCCATTTTTACAATGTCAAGCTTGTAACAACCAAAGAAGGTGCTATACAGAACCTTTCTCAAAAAAGGTTCTTTATAGAACATATATAAACCTGCAGCACATCCTCCATCAATCCGAAAAACACTTTAACCATGCAAAGAACCCTTTAATCATGCAAAGGGTTCTTTGAGTGTTCATGGTTCTATATAGAATCATTGTCTTTACTAAAGAAACTTTCATTGTAGCAATAGCAGAACCCTTTTTGGTGCTATATCGAACCCTTGTCAAAAACTCAAAGAACAATTTCACCATGCAAACAATGCTTTCTTTGAGTGTTCAGGGTTCTATATACAACAACTGTCTTTACTAAAGAACCTTTGAAGAACCATCTTTTTTAAGAGAGTGGTGGAGATATGCGACCTAAACAACCAGAAAAACACGTTCTTCATGTGTTCTTTCTGTCTCTCCTCATTCAAAGAGCAAAGATCCTCATAATATCTCTGGTTCCACTCAGATAGCAAACTGTGCTCGCTAACATCCCTGAAGAACGCCAGATCTTAGTTCAGCGGCAGCAGTTAGAAATACTGAAACTGATATTTAGTAGATTTCAGACAGTGTACCAACAAACTGTAACAGTGCCTTAGTTTGTGTATCGCAGTAAAAACATTTAGTTTCTTTTACAGTACCTTCTTAAAGAAGATGGTTCTTCAAGGGTTCTCTAGCAAAGAAACACTCAAAGAACACTAAGAACCTCTAAATAACCATCTTTTTTAAGAGTGTACCTTAAATGTGAGGTACAAACTCCAAAGTACTAGATAATTATTTTGGGTAGCATCCAGGACAGTTTAACTTAACTACACTGAAATGTCTAACAGGTTCTAGATATTAACTGAGTAAATGCAGGGTGCAAACTGCAAAGTGTTGCATAATTATTTTGAGATTTTTATGACGACAAGTATCAAGGCAGTCCAACCGAAATATGATGAAATGTCTAACAGGTTCCAGATATTAAGCAGATAAACAATGTGGTCAATATAAACACAATCTCACAAAATTTCACTGTAATGTCACACATTTAAGCAGAAAAGTAAATCAGAAACAGCTGAGAGCAGCAGGTAAGATGGAGCAACATGATGCACAGAACACAGTTTTCTGAAGTAAACGGTGAGAACCTTAACCACACTGTGCTCTCTTACCGCCCACGTTCAGTTTATAGCTAAATTACAGAATAGAGCTGTTCAGTATCGCTGATAGTCTTGACTGTGTGGTTTCTGACACTGTTTGATGCATTTTTACCTATAAACATGGAGAAATGTAGATGAAGTAAAACCTTTAAGATTGATGTTCAGCTTTTGTCCATTTTTACAGCAAATATGTTATACACTGTCTTGCCTGACTGACTTTATTTGAGATAAAAATGATGGATTTATTTTGAACTACTTTATTTATCTATTCACATCTTTGTTTTGCCACTTCAAAGAACATCTGCTTTGTGCTTTTGCAGGTATGACCAGTGTGTGTTCACCTACAGGCTTTTCCAGGTAGAAGGCAACTTATGGAAAGCAGAGGTGAGAGAGTTCCTTTGCTGGGATCTTCACAAGGGCAGTTACTCTCAAAGCCATTCAGTGGCCACTTTATTAGAAACACCCACCTTGTGCTTCCCCTCACTGGCCACTTTATTAGAAACACCCACCTTGTACTTCCACTAACTGGCCACTTTATTAGACACACCCACCTTGTGCTTCCACTAACCGGCCACTTTATTAGAAACACCCACCTTGTGCATCCACTCACTGGCCACTTTATTAGAAACAGCCACCATGTCCAGATATTTTTGGATGGTGTTCCATTCACATCACTGCAGTGTCAGTGCAAAGTTGGTTATATTATATACTGTCTGTACTGTATTAGACCAAGTTCATGCTACTGACTGTAGTTTAAGAGATACTAAATAAATAAATAAATAAATTTGCAGTAAATAATAAATCAATAAGCTTGTAAAGTTGGCCTGTTATGATCAGAGTGAGGAACTAACGTTCTGCATGTGAACTTTCTGCTTTGTTAACAGTGGTCAGGTTTCAGAACCTGTGAAACTAAACATGTTTCTGGTTGTAGTCATATGACTGCTGACATTTGCCTCTTATAAAACTAATAAAATGAATATTAAACAGTTTATAAATATAAAAGTACAATCATAAAAGGAAATAAAGCACTTGAAGTGCTAGAGCGGAGATCATGTGCACCAGTTCCAGTTTAAAGTTTAGAACAATATGCAAAAATTTTGGACAGTGGGGTTCTCAAAGCGGTCCTCAGGTTTTTCAGCTCTGTCTATGTGTTGCAAGTTGGGTTGGACTGCCTGGGGGTCTCTGAGGGCCAGTTGGAGAACCATTGTGATAGTGGACCGACAAAGTAGGTGGCTAGTGAGCGGCCAGTACGAGGTACATTTAAAATGGTCAAATTTCATATTACATGCACGATTAGCTTAGTAATTAGTTGAGTTTAATCACAGCAGATCTACACACTGAGCTACACACCGCAGTTTAACTGGAACTCTCTATACTGAAGACTCTGTAATGCTGTAAGCTGTATAAACATTACAGGGGGACTCCACCAATTTTTCAAATTTTCTTCAGAGTTAACAAGTTAAGGTGTAAACAGAGTTAACCAGAGTGGTTTGGTGTGAAACACTCCATTCTAGAGAAACTTACCGAATCAGATTTGTTCACAGTGGTGGTGATAGGAACCAGACGTCCACCTCTAAAAGCTCCCTCACAGGAAGTTCCTACATGAAATGGTTATGAATTCACTGCCTGATGGCTGAGACACTGTGTGATGGTAGGTTTGTGATAAAGCTGGGATACGTAAGGATGTTTTAGGGCAAAATAGTCCCAAAAGAAAACCTCCAGTATTTTCCACTATTATAAACACACTGAACCAGTTACTGACACAATCAGATTTTCTGCAGTTATCAGACTATTAAGCATAAACATACTGAACCAGTTACTGACACAATCAGATTTTCTGCAGTTATCGGATTATTAAGCGTAAACATACTGAACCAGGTACTGACACAATCTGATTTTCTGCAGTTATCAGACTATTAAGCGTAAACCTACTGAACCAGTTACTGACACAATCAGATTTTCTGCAGTTATCAGACTATTAAGTGCATGTAAACACACTCAGTGTTATACTGTACAGTCCTGTGACATAATGACACAGTAGAATTGAATTGAACTGAATTGAATTAATCAGGTCTATTAGAGTAGGGAAGATGTGTGCCAAGCTACAGTATATTGACCTCTGTGTCCACTTTACCACCATCTTCTTCCTCTTCCAGACGGCGCCTGGGGTCAAGGAACGGCTCTTTCGGAATGTCAACAACCTCATCACAGCTTTTCAGCACCCAGACCAAGGCATGGCCATGCCCCTGCTGTATCCTGTCACCGTTGACCAATACCACAACTACCACCACCGCCACCCACATCACCAGCAGCCTGACAGGAAACCAAAGCCCAGACCGCAGAAGCACATAAACTGCTGATGTTATGACACCTTGTAGTTTTAAATGATTGCTCAGGTCATCATGGAAAGTCTGTAACACCTCATGTGGTTTACATGTATAAATATCTCTCTTATGCTTCTGAATAAATGCTACCCTTACATAAGACACGGTACTGTTTGCGAGTGCAGCTCAGATCGTTTTTTTGTACAGTGATCAAAAGGTCCTGAGCAGTGCAGCTGTGGGCGTTTTTATTCGGAACGTGTCTCAGCTCCAGCAGCGCTGCTTTAAAGGCCTATCAGATAAACTGAAGGCATTTCCTTTTTCTCGAAACCGCCAGTTTCCTCTCAGCTTGGACTTCACGCAGGCGACACAGCGCAAACAGATTCAATTTCACTTTTACAATCCTAAAGGTTAAAGCTGTTTAGAACCCATCCACCAATTTTCTGGTTCCTCCAGACTCCAGAACACGTAGAATAGGGCTGTCCAGTCTCACCAACACCTGACCAAATCAGGATGTGTGTAAAAATAAAGGGTGGCTATACTTACGGGTGGATACCTCACATCGTTAGGAACCAACGGACACTTTAATGAGTTCTATGCTTTTTCAGAAAGGGAACAGATAAAACATTGGCAACAGCAGAGAAATCATGTTGTGTTTGAGGTTGTAATGTCAAATGTATGAAGTTTGTAATGGATTTTACTGATGTTTTCACTGACGCTATAAACAGCATTAAACCCACTGTGAATTCTCTGTGTTTGGTAACTCCTGCAGGTAAAGCTAATGACAATTTAGTGAATCCTTTCCTCTTTAATCGTCCAGATGAAGATGCCCTGCACTGTTACATCATCGGTAAGAGGTCCAGAATGTAAACTGGGATGCTACGTTGATGAAATGAATGAATGAATGAATGAAATGAACCTTTTGGCCAACTGTGTCTGAACACATCGACATTAGACCTCCGCATTTAACCCATCCGTGCAGTGAAACACCACATACACACTAGTGAACACACACACACACTAGGGGGCAGTGAGCACACTTGTCCAGAGCGGTGGGCAGCCCTATCCACGGCGCCCGGGGAGCAGTTGGGGGTTATGTGCCTTGCTCAAGCGCACTTCAGTCACGTACTGTCGGCTCAGGGGACTGAACCGACTGCCACGACTGATGTGTAGTGAGGGAGACTTTGTGTCGCTAATAACTGTGTAGTTACATGTGAACAACTTATGCATTTAGTCACTGTTACAGATGGATTACAGACATACACCTAATGTAATTACACAAGTGTATCTTCTACACAGGAACTTTCCTGTAAGGTAGTGTTGGAGTTACACTTTAAAATGAGTGGACAGGCTGTACTTCTGTAATCCATTTGTAACACTGACTAAATCATCAGTAGTTACAGTGTTGTTGCATGTTATTCATGTGTAACTACACAGTTATTAGAGACACAATATAAAGTGGGACCGATTTTTTTGATAATGTGAAAGATTTTTTAAATTTGATATTTGAATTTAACTAACTAATCATGTTATGCTGTAGGGCTCACTTTGAGCAGCTCTCCCTGTGTGCAGGCCGATTGTGTCAGGGGCTTGGGCCCGGATAAGCTCACTCACACGGAGAACCTGTTTTTACTGTAGACTAGTAAGAATGTCTTTGAGAGGAGAAACACATCAGTTGTAGCAACATTAATGGCTGATTTGACTCTCTGTGTGTGCAGGTAAGGCCTCTCTGTATGTGCTCAGGCCTTAACCTGGAGCGCTACATATGTTTCAACCAGGCCTGGAAACACTGCTCAGTACCGTTTTGAACATGAACTGCAACTATAATAGGGAAGCTGGGCCATTGTTTAGGAATCTTGGCCTGCACGCACGCACACACACACACACACACACACACACACACACACACACACACAGTCTTGCTATACATATGAGGATGTCCATAGGTTTCTATTGATTTTTGTGTTACTGTAGCTAAATAATACTACACCTAAACCTAAACCTAACCCCAACCTTAACCTCACTATCCAAATGGCAATTTTTCTGCTCTTTTAGTTTTCAAATAAAAAAAGTCATCGTGTTGAAAACAACACATGCTCAAGTGAGGACATTTTGCCGAAAAATTAATATAGTCCTATCATAGTGAGGACACAGCGTCCTCACAAGTATAGCACTACAAGAACACACACACACACACACACACACACACACAAAGAGGCCTAGTTTGGACCGTAACTTTATTATTTACCCATTTCATGTACAAAACATATCACTATTGTCAGAATAAAACCTCGTATCTCCAAAACTTTACAGGAGAAGGAAAAAACCTACTTCACTTTTAATGTAAGTCAGTGGAACCAGAGATTTTTTTATATCAAAAACTGAAAATCGGCAAAAATGGAAATACGAGGTTTTATTTGTACTGTCGATCAGTGAAAAATGGAAAAGTGGGATATGTGAACTGATGTGATGTAATCAAGAGCACAGCCACTTAAAGTGTGTTTTAACTTAGAGATGATGGTATAATTAAATGCAGTAGCTTAAGGCCGGTGGTTATTATTTGATGTAATGGTATTTTAATGAATTGAAATGAACTGAAATGGCTGACGAAGGATGACGAGGCACTTTTAGAAGAAAATCAGAGGTGTTTGTCACAGAAGGCCGAGGCTGACTGAAGAAAGTGTATGTAAAAAGTACAAAATTGTTACAATTATAATAAAACTCAGTGAAGCTGGGGTTACATGTGACTGTAAGACAGATCAGGTGAGGTCAGGTAATGGGTTGGGGGGGGGGTCCTGTTTTGTTTAGGCAACTCAGGTTAACGCTTTCATTTGTGAAGCCTTAATCTGTAATAAGTGGTTGTATAGCGTAGTGGTTAACTCCTCTGCCTTCTGCACTGTACACTGGGGTTCAACCCCCCACTCTGCCATTATTGGTGTTTGTTTTCTGTTTTGTATTAGGTGAAGTTTTATTTTTTGAATAAGAAGCAAACTGATTGAAAAATCTGTCAGTTGATTGATATTTTTAGAGTTATTACTTTGTAGTGTTCGAGATAAGTTAGCTAAGAAGCTACCGCAGTTAGCATTTATTCTAGCATCCACAGAACGCTTGTGTGAGTGTCTGTGCAGAGTTGTGCAATGAACTGCTCCATTTCAGTTGACATGCTAACTAATAAGCATGGTAGCTTAGCTATATTAGCTGAGTCAGACGCTAAATGCTTTAGAGTGATATAAAATGACCAAAAAGACTCTTGAATCAGTAGCTGTTGTTATTATAACAGTGGAAAGTGAACTAAAACTAGAACTGGGAGTTCAGTTGGTTCATGTTTGGGTCAGTTCTTGTTTTGGAATTATCAGTGGAAAAACATCCTTTTATTAAAAGTCTGCAGTTCCACGTGTGGCCAAGCATGTTTATGATTATGTGACAAATGTAACCACATACAGAGACATAGGCTATTCAGGGCTCACATGCATTGAATATCATAAATTAATCAGCTATAACTGTTTATAATGCTGACATTTTACAGTTGAATTTGTTGTAAATTAGCTTAAACAGTGCTTTCTGGTAAGCTTTCTACTTATTAGACTCGTGTATTTAGGCTGATGTGTAAGCTGTAGTGAGGCCAGCCTGTATTAATAATTAATATGGCCTGTCCACATTTTTTTTTTTCAACATTGTGTGTTGTAAAAGAACGATACATTGTAAAAAGTGTCTCGTCAGATCTACCTAAAAATGTCATGTTGTAAAAAGCAATTTAACTAATTTTATTCAACTTAAAAAAACTACATTGACTGAAAGAATCGTTCATTCAAAGTGTTTATTTAGGTTGAATAAAACTAGTTAATTTACTTTTTACCACATGAAGTCATTTTTAAGTAGATCTGATGAGCCACTTTTCACAGTGTGTATTTAATTTACTTGATTCAAATAATTTCCTCATGAATGAGTAAAATGTGTTACATCAACACAGTTTTGTCCTTCAGTTCACTTTCAGCAGTAACTGACACTGTTTTATTCTTGTGTAAATGATGGGCAGATTCAGTTATGAGCACCAATGGATCACTTTTATATCATTTTAATGCAGTAATGCTATTTTATTTAGCTTTTATCTATCTATTTATTTATTTTTGGAAGTGTGGCACCCCAATAAAATCACCATGACCACCCCATTATAAATGTTCTAGCTACGCTTCTGACCACACAGAGTCATTATCGGCCTGGGAAGATGAGTCTTAAAAAATCTTTGTTTTTTCAGCGTTTTGGTTAAATAAGTTGTGCCAGTGCAGAACCGTCACCCAGAGTACGTTCTTTGCTGATGTTACAGAACACAGATTTGCCCTTTACTGGCAAAGAAACTAACTCTACATTCTAGAAGCTTTCCAGGATGACTGTCTTCAAATGCAGACAACTGGAAAAGAACTGCCTTCAAATTCTAGAACACCAACACAAGGAATGACTTTAAATTCTAGAACACCAACAAAAGGAATGACTTTAAATTCTAGAACACCAACAAAAGAACTGCCTTCAAATTCTAGAAAACCAACAAAGGAATGACTTTAAATTCTAGAACACCAACAAAAGCACTGCCTTAAAATTCGAGAATACCAACAGGAGAGCTGGTTCAAATTCTAGAACACGAACAAAAGAACAGCCTTCAAATTCTAGAGCAGCAAGAAAAGGACTGTCTTCAAACTCACTTAAATTCTATAACACTGGCAGAAGAACTCACTTAAAATTCTAGAACATTAGCAAAAGAATTGTCTTGAAACTGTAAACCACTGGTGAAAGAACTGACTTCAAATTCTAGAACACCGGCAAAAGAACTCAGTTAAAATGATATAAGATCAGCAAAAATGCCTGTTCAAATCCCAGAACACCAACAAAAGAACTGTGTTCAAATTCCAGATCACTGGCAAAACAAGTCTTCATTTTGTAGAACATCAGCAAAGAACTGACTTAGAGACTATTTTAAAGAGAACCTGCATCACGTTCTAGATGATCACTGCAATAACTCTCCTCAAATCCTTGTGTGTTTTAATGAACTGAGACCAGGCGACTGGACACAGATTAAAAAAGTAATGGTCAAACCTCAGCGGCTCTCGTGAAGCTCTGTTAAAGAAGGAAAACAAACAGGAAGTTTACAATTTACATATTTATTTATCAAAAATCTTGATGCCCAAAGAACCTTGTTTTTAAATATGAATGTTTGTACAGTTCTTCAGTGAACCGAACGTTCTCACAGCTCAAAGCACTGCAGGTCAGAAACTAACAGAGGAGACGCTCCAGCCCCTTAGAGCCACAACCAGCTGCGTTTCACCCGTACCAGATTCAGACCACCCTCTGGTTCTATCATCTTAAAAAAGATGGTTCTTCAAGGGTTCTTTAGTAAATAAAATTGTTCTATGTAGAACCATGAACACTCAAAGAACCCTTTGCATAATTAAAGTATTCTTTGCATGGTGAAATGGTTCTTCATGTGTTGTGTATGGTTCTATATAGCACCCAAAAGGGTTCTACTACTGTTACAATGTCAAGCTTGTAACAACAGAAGAACCTTTTCAAAAAGGATCTAGATAGAAACATCTGCAGCACATTTTTCATGAATCCGAGGAGCGCGTTTACGATGCAAAGAACCCTTTAATCATGCAAAGGGTTCTTTAAGTGTTCATGGTTCTATATAGAATCAATTTCTTTGTTAAAGAACT